TTCAAGACGAATTCCTTTGTTAACATTCATCCTTTGCAGCTTAGTAAAAGGATTCTCACGATATGGAATTATTTTAATTTAGAGCTTGTCCAATTGATATTGAAGGACCTTAACTAGACACAAATAGATTATTATATGTGCAGATTTTAAAAGTTGGTTGATTTGTACATATCAATTAAAAATACCAAGCTACAGCGCAAATCACTGATATTTTTATTGATTTTATAGATTCTTCAATTCCCCAAAATAGAATGAAGACCAAAAAAACAAAATTGTAGTTTTAAAGCCAAGACCTTTCTCTACATTGTTACGATTTCATTTGTTGATATGTCATGTTACCATGTTAACAAAGGAATTGATCTTGAACAATTTTCTCATACATAATGGCAATTAGGATAGGGGGACAGTATCAATATTATACACTACATAGTGTAGCAAATAGCTACATATGACAAAATGGAAACCATTTGTGCATTCAGCACAAATTAAACAACAACTGCCTGATGAAGTGTGTTCAACCAATAGTGTCAAAATCAACTGCCTGCGGTTCTACTGATCAACTGCTGGTGTACATTATTAAATGTGTAAATGATGGTAATTGCCCACGTAGTAATCACATTTTGCTCAGATAAACAAGGTACATGTTCATCATTACTAACTTTTGATCCTTCAATTAATTTGTTCTGAAAAGAAACTACTTTTTCAACATGATTACTGTATTGTAATTGTTTAATGAGATTCCTCAATATTTATTATTCATTTTATACCAGTAAACTCTGATGCTTTATAGACATAAGCTAGGAAACCTGCAAGTAAGACTTTAGTCAATTGTTTTTTTTTCATCAATATTTTTTTCCATTGTGGTTTTTGTATATTTATCAAAAAAAATTTTTTTTTAAAAGAACTTTTTTTTTTCAACCACAAATATGTATCACAAAAAATATAAATATATTTAGATTTTAAAATTTTACCTACAACAATTCAGCATTGACACCCTAAAGTCGTAAAACTGTAATAAATATTGCAAGCATGCAATCAAAGTTATTGGAGTCACCAAATCTGAAAAACTAAATTAAAATCACTACATACAACTATACTGCTTGATTAGAGTTTCTATTTGAATAAAATGAATAATGAATAATTCGATAATTCAAAAGACAAATAAACGAATAATTCAAATAAACAAATAAACAAATAAAATAAATAATTCAATTGATAATTTAAAATAAACAAATAAACGAGTAATAATAATTTGAATGGTTTAAATAAAACGAATAAACAATTCAAATAATAAAATGAATAAACGAAATAAAATGAATAATTCAAGCAAAACAAATATTTGAATAAACGAATGATGTCAATTCGAATGATAAACGAATGATGCCAATTCTAATGATCGAAAGGAGAATTGGTTAGTTTTTTATTCATCTTTATTTATTTATACATCCCAGATCAAAGGTCAATTTGATCGATCAGATTTTTTTTCAAGCCTACATCGCCATAGAAGGATAAGCTTTACAAATTTGATTGTTTTAAAAAAAAAAGATCTTTTGTTTTGATCTTTTCTTTGTGTTCATTTATTTTTATTCCAACTAAAGGTCAATTTGATCGATCAGATGTTTTTTTCAAGCCTACATCACCATAAAAGAATAAATTTCAATTGTTAAAAAAAATCAACTAAGCTTTTTTTTTCTTAATTAAAAGAAAAAAAGATCCTTCGCAAAGAAGAACCCTTGTGTGAATCAAAAGCCATTTTGCGAATTTCGATTGTTAAAATCTTTCGTCCTGATCTTTTCCTTGTGTTTTTTTTCATCTATCGCTATAGAAGAATAAGCTTCATGCAAACATCAAATGTCATTTACAAATACATTAAATATTTTTGCTAATTATGTTTAGTAATATTCATATAGATGATTCTTATTTTAAAAAGAATAAAGAATAACTTGTATCTTTACCACAATTAAAGTATTTGTTTGTAGTAAAGTGTTTAATTCGTCTTTAAAGTAATTCTTCACGAATTCTTTACACTTTGTCTCATTGAGTTCCAACTGAACTCTCACATTTAAACATCAGGAACACATGTTTGTTTTTCTCCCTCAGGAATTATTCGATTATTGAAAATCCACCAGTTTGCAGAAAATGAGCCATAATGAAGCGTTGGACCAAGTTTACAAGCAGCAATAAGTCGAATTTTATGTTTTTGTGAAGACATTACAGTTTAATTGGTAAAATTTACATGTTTTATTAAATGTAGATCGTTTGCAATTAAACAATAAATCATGTGGATCAATGTTTCATATACAAATTAATTAAATAGACTATCAGTGCAAATTGAGATTTTTTTTTTGTAAATAACATCATTCACATCATTCAAGTATTATGTCTTCATTATTGCAGAATGAATTATACTCTAAATGGTTTTCGGCATTGGATTCAGCAAGACATAAGCTTCTTGCTATCAGACGACAAAAAGGAATTGAGGAAGTGAAACGAAAGGGAATTATTATTGACAGAGAAGTATCACGTAGAACTCATCTTGAATTTAGTGAAAGTGAACCAAGGGTTTCTGCTAAATACCGTTTAATCAATGGAAAAATTGAAGCCTACGAAATACCTCTCAACCCTCATGGGTTAGCACAAGGAAAGTTAACTGCTATTATGGATAACTGGAATGATCAGTTGCTTGTCATTAGTAATTTGGATGTTATTGTGGGTACAAGAAACGTCTATCGTCACGATATAAGTGTTCAACCAAGGAATCGTCAACAACCTCAATCATCACAAGCAGTCAATTCATCTAGAAAACCATATCCAACTCTAGTGGTGGAAATTGCCGATATGGAAAGTTTAAGGAGTTTGCATGAATTGGCAACAACATATTTTTCTCAATGGACCACTATTTAAATTTATTTAGCCATCAAGTTATTCTCACTTCGTCAGAATGGTTCTGTTGCACTTCTTGCGCTGCTTTACTTGCGTAACAATCCAAATACAACAATCCCTGTAATTGCTAAGTCTTTCGGAACAGTACCTCGTCACCATTACCCACAAACATATCTTCTAAATACTGTACATGTTACAGGCATTACTGGTGTCGGATTTGGAGGGTTCCTTGTGATGGTGCCAATCTTCAAGAATATCAAATGGCTATTGCTTTTTAATGGTGTCCCTGGTGGTGTACCAGATAACTTTACTGTAGATCTATGGAGATTGCAAGATGTAGTTCTGAATGGTTATACATTATAATAACATTTATTCATTTCAATAGCAATAATAATATGCAATTTACATTCATTAAAGGCATAAGACTAGCTAGATGAATCATAAAACTTTAGTAAAAACAATATTTTATTAAATATATATGCATTATTGACTTTAAATACTGGCGTCTTCTGCATTTTCTTGAAAAGTTCCCGGATCTAGCACTAATGTATTTGATTCTTAATTGTATTCCTTCTACTATTTTGTTGATGTGAATGTCCTGGATTTGCAAAAATATTATCAAGGAATACTATTGCTATTGATATCTAAACATTGATCAGTTTGGTTTTCTTTGAATTGACCTATGATTATACAAAATGACAAAAATAAGGTATATATCTGCAAAACAAGAAAAACAATGAGTGCTTCTTTGTGAGAAATTATAACTTACAACATAATATAATTTCCTATTTGTCTTGTTACTTGTCCGCTATCTATAAGACTGTTGTTTCCATCATAAACGAAAAGAGAAATCCCATCCTGCCTAACTTCATCCAATCCAATTACATAAAAAGTATTAATGTTACGTATTATTTAATTATATATTACATTTTGAAAATCATCTTCTAGTGTTGAAGCCAAAGCTTACCCAAATTAAGAATTGTATTTCAAGATTTAATCAATAAAAGGATGTCATGATAAGAATAAGAGCAAGTTCACCACCATTAACTTCAACATAAAAAGAATAAATTTATCCAATAAAATATATAATATTAATTTTTTTCTTGTAAAATTTATAGCCTTGTGTTTATAGAAATGACGTAAAAGTTATCTTTCATTTTTTTAATTAATATTTATAAACAATATATAGACTACAATGAAGATTCTTTTTTAAATATGTATAATATGTACATTCACGTCCAATAATTAATAAAACTTTTTATATTTCACGACTTTGCATTAATTTGATTTCGAGACATTATAGGACCTGGAAATTTCTACAGTCGAACCCTCGTTTCAACGGATTTTTGGTTTTACTCCTACTATTATTACTGATATATGGATAATAAGGGTTATTTCTCAATCAATTAAACACTTTTTGTAATACGCGGATTTGAATTCCGTGCAGATGTTTTATTATTATGCAATCATAACTTTAATTAGTTGATCAAAGAAAATGTAATTCTATCTTTAGAAAAACGGATAATTGAACTAGAAATACAAAATGAACTCAATGACAACATTAATAATAATAATAATAATAATGGCACAGTTCAAGAAATATCCATAATAGAATTCTTGGCTTCAAATGTTCCAGTGGTATTGTAGCTTTGATAAAAGAAGTTAAAGAATATTGTGGTGTAGATCTTCCATTGAACATTTCGTTTTTTGAGGGGAGGTCGGTCTATTAGCTATTATTATTATTTTATCATCGTCAAAAATTTCATCGATTTTATTCATGTTCAGATTGGTAAAAATTGCCACAAAACTAATAAAACAATCTCTGGCGAGGTAGTGTTTCAACTAAATGAGAGAATTCAGTTATTTAGAATTCAAGATATTTTATAATTAAAGGTTGTGTATATTCGTTCGTGTGATCTTTTTTTTTTTTTTGATGCCAAAATTAAAGTAGGTTTTTTGCTGCAAGTAGTCATTAATGATAATATTTCAATGAATTAATTATATCCTCTCATATTATCTATTAGTTGGTAGTTCACCAAGCAACCAAACTCAACATACACATCAATGGTTTGAAGAATCCTAACCATTGGCAATGACATTTTCTGAAGAGGTTATGAAGTTATGATGTTACGAAATAACAGATCGTTGCCTTCCAATAGGCTTTGTTACTTCTAGGAAACCATCTACTATACTAAATTGAATAATTGTAGTGTATACATACTCACGTGTGGACATGGTTATCACAATCATTGTCTACAAAGGGCCAATCTAAACGTTTGATATCTTGGACTATCTTGAAGTCGAAATCAAAAAAAACGTCAACGCACTAAAAGAAAGTATAACGAAAAGATTAAACGAAAATGAGTTTATCGAAAATATCGAAAATACAGTTGATGATGATGCAGTAACAATGGAAAAATTTATTAGGACATGCAAAAAACAATTTTTTGGGTTGTAATTTTGTTTTTATTAATAAATTTGTTTGATTTTTTCATATATCGTTCATGTTTTGTCTTAATCGTATATCTTAAATGTTGAAATTCGTTATATTAAAGTTATTTTGGTTATATCGAGAGATATGGTCAAGAGAAGAGTTAGGAAGAGAGTTATT